AAATCGACGTGATGGCTTTCAATGCAAAATCAACAGGTTAAACTAGCACAAAATTATCTTTTGACCTAATTTTCTCGAAGCTCCCTGCCGTTTCGCAGAAACAGAAAACATATTCCGAATCAGAATTTTATGGGCTTTCTAATGATATAGGCCATGAAGTGTAACTTGGAGACGACTCCAAATAGTTCCCTAGTGAAAGATATCGGAAATTAGTTTACTAATAAATTATCTATCATAATATCACCTACAATTTTTCAGTTAACAAATTTCTGATAACTATTATAGGAACAGAGATAATTGAGCTCAAACTTGTAGTTCTATTAGAGCATTTACGGTAACCACAAAGCTCTTATTCAAATGCAATAACCCATTTTGTTTACCACTTCTCCACCTATAGAAGCCCCATAATTTGAAAGCAGAATGAATCCGCTCCACCTGCTACCCCAAACCTACGTTTTCCCGTTCTTCACCGGTCTTGCAAACGGTCCCTCATCCTCATTTCCATATTCTCCTCCTGCTTCTTCTTCCTCTTTTTCTCTGTTTGATGTTGTCGGAACACTCATAACCACCTACAATAAGTACATATGTATATGCTTTCGTTTTCATTTCATTTCAATGTGTTTTCGGATTATTAGTGAATTGGTTGGTAAATTAGGACAAGTCATCAATTTTATGAGGTCAAACATGAGGCGAAATGAAATTATTTCATTTGGAGTTTGGCATTTGACTTCTAGCTTTGCGGTTTTGGGAAAGTAGGTCATAGGGGTTTTTCTAGTAATAAAAAATTGTCGAACATAGAGCTCTACTTTCAGAGCTCGAAAAAAATTAGAAGCCCACCTAAGCCATCAACTTTGAACTCAATTATCTCGGTTCCTGTGAGAGATGTAAAACATTTGTCAACTAATAAACTATTGGTTATATCATGATGAATAATTGATCAGTTTACACATTACTGATAGCTCTTATAGGAGCCGAGATAATCGAGCTCAAACTTAACAGTGCGGAGCCCCTTTATGAAAAATTTTGTTACCCGTAAGTGAAGGACCTTAACCTACATTTATCAAAAATAGTGTCAGTAGAATATAACGCTTGAGACGCATCATTTTTCAAAGTCAAGACTAGTTTCTTCTATCCGTTTTTCTGTTTGTCAGGGTCACAATTTTTTCGACCAGAGATCTAGAGAAATTTCTCAGAACAGCAGCTGTTCAGTGTTAAGTTGGTCAGGCTAGAAAATAGGTTTGTAGGGTTCAAAATATGAGAAAAAACTAAATTCGAGCATTTTGAATTAGCTGGACTTCCATTTTCAAAATATGAAAATAAGCTGAAGAATATTTTTAATGCTTAATTGTCTAATTAGATCTGGCTGAAATTTTTTCTAGTGATCAAACTTATGAGGAATTTGTTGCAAAATAGTTCAATGTGCCTAATGGGGTTAGTCAGGGAGTCGGCAAAAAAGGAAAAAAAAACTCCGCGAAAACTCGGAGAGTGTTCCAATCTGGTTGAAACTTTGGGGAAAACTGGAGAAAACTATAGAAAACATTTTGCCAAAGTTTGGGGTCAAAATATC